GAATTAACTGGGGAAATGAACTGGTGGCACCTTGTAAGCGGCGAGGAGAATCAGACAGGCCAACCCAATATGGGTGATAAGCAACTTCTACCTTATTTGTGACGCAGTTCACACATATATAGGAGTGGTATTCAGCCACTCCTTCTTGGCGCAACAGTATTGGTTAGCCCCCCCACAGCTTCCTCCACATTGTCCTCCCAGGTCCGGTCTCCGACCACCTGTGGGGGCCACCCCCTGCCTTGCTTGCACAGTCCTCCAGAACTCTATGGTCCTGCTCTTAGAGTCATTCTGCAACAATTCCCCCCTTTTTCTTTGTGCAAGCAAGGCATTATGGGTTATTCTGTTCACCTGTTTTATCACACAACTATAAACAAGTCTAATAGCTACGATGATTAACCTAATCATGATACATAAGTGCAATACTTTTAAACAGCAGTGTCTGACTCAACCTGTAATGCCCCGTGAAGACAACCATCTAGTTATTCTTAGGATATTGCTCATTTACTATTGCTGGGTAAGCTGAGCCAGGGTTCTCAGCTGTGCGTGCATCGAATTAACATAATCAGAGAGACTCATACAAGACATTCCATCAGACTCTTCACATCTATGTCCCTGTTCCAACAACAAAAGGTTCTGCAGTGTTGCATGTCTTACAGAGTCAACATTAAAACAAATCGGGAATTGCCTTCGATGTAGAATTGTCTGCTTAGCAACTCAGCAACCCAGTCTGCTTAGTTGAGCTGAAGCACTTACAGTGATTTGGCATATTATGATTGGATACATGTTTTGAAGACCCTTAGTGACTAACATATAATTGCTTAAACACAGCTGTGAGAACTCAACCTTGAAAGCTTGCCAACAGTCCACAGTTCTCATTAACTTGGTGAATTCCAGCCTCTTATCTTGCTTGCTTAAGCTTCTTCGGGCCTCCCATGGCCTTGCTGTATCTTTCAGGACTATTCAAAGTTTATGTACCACTTATGCATTCTCCTGTGAGAACACCGTCTCCACATCTTCCCCCTTTATGTTTTATATATGGTTTGGGTGGCTCTACTTGAGCAGGGGATCCGGGCTAGATTATATTTCCAACATACGCCAACTAGAGGCTGCCTGGGCCTGCCCCTTTTTTCTGCTGTATGGCTCTCTGATAACAGGCTGTATAGCTCTCTGATCCTTCACATCAAGGTCTGGCATGGCATGTGTCCCCACCGCTCCACGCCTGCTGGGTTGCAGCCAACAGCGGAGCTAAAGGTTCTTCTTGGTGGCAAACACAGAAGCCAACCCAGTCTTGCCCTTGATTGTGGTAGCAGGCATTTGGTCAGCCTCAGTCCTTGCACCTTGTTGTCAATGCACAGTTTCACCTGCTTCATCCAGTAACAAGTTGCTACTACAGCAAGGCACACACACATTTACATTAGCAGAGTAACTGTTACAGGGTGCAGCAGCATGTTGAAGATGCTGATGGCAGTGAGGGACTAGCCAAAGAAATTTCTTACCAGTGGAATTCTCCCCCCCTCTTAAATTTGTTCCATCACCTGCTTTATAACACTACCATTGTATTAAAATTTTTCTAGCTTTTGCCTTAGCATTTTCTAGCAGCTACTGCAAATTTCCATACTCTAACATCTCTTTTACAAGTGACAAATCTATACAGTACAAGGTGCAGTTTCTTATTAGCAACTAGCTAGTAAATACAGGTGGTTTTATACACAAAATCACAACCTCTAATAATAGCTATTTTACAAGCACACATATTCAGGATGTTACTTTTCAGTTGCCCCCAAGTGATGTTTTGCAGTTATTTGTTCTTTCTCTTCCTCTATCTCATTCTGCTTGGGGTAATCACGGTCAGCTCCTGTAGCTGAGGCATCAGGTTTATCCATTCGTCTGTCCAGCTCATGGCAAGGCTTGACAAACTTTGCAGGCAGTCACCATGGACCTGTAGGCAGGAGGACACCAATATACCCCCTCCCCCAGGTTATCAGTTCTTCAGTTCTTGAGAAGTAGACGGGTTAAACAGGTTAAGTGCAGCATCATTACTCTCTCTCCCTCCCCCCCTCTTTTTAAGTCCCTGCAAAAGCCATCATTACTCCCACTACAGTCCCACGTACAGAACGTGGCACAAGGACCCTGTGGAGACTAACAGCAAACCAGCTCCGAGAAGCATCACTGCAGTGCGAGGTGGCAGGCTCAACCTTAGCGGGCGTCCCCGCAGAGGCTCTGCCTCCCCCACATCGTATGAGGCTTGGGCTTTTATACTGACCAAAATGCACACTCATTCCGACACAGGTGGCCAGCCTGTGCTGGAAGAAGTGGCCAGCAGTATCTACAGAGGTCTCCAAGGGTTGATAGAAACCTGGACATACTTATATTTACCAACTTCTAGTACATGAGTATCACAGAGAAACTGTATGGGCTCCCCCTGTCAGTTGCAAGAAAAAATCATAACATACACAGCTTGAGTATAAGAGGATTGTAACGCATACGTGGTCACTGTTTGTCAGGCCTCCTTAACTATTTTGAGATCAAGAGCTTCCCACTCTTTAGCCCCCTGCTGTGTAGTAAACACAGGATATGCAAAGATGCCCATTGCAGAAAATTCCCCGGTAATGTTCACCTCTTTGATTATCCATTGTTACAACTGAGCGTCTCCAGGGCCAGTAAGTCTGAGCAGACCCACCCGGGAGACGAAGAGTCAGGGTCTGGAAGCAGAGGATATAAATCTGGCTCGGATTCAGGGGATTCGGGGGCTGATCCTGCGCCGAACTCGGGGTCTCCGTTGCTCGCAGCTGTGTCTTTCTTATCAGATGTATCTCGTTCGGTATGTAGCCATCTGCAGACCTGGCTCCTCCGTGACTGAGTTAAAAATTTTTTCACTCTAGGGCATAGTGGGTTGGAGAGGCTCGCGGTTCCTTTAAATCTCCCGCTCGCGCATGATCCCTATTTTCTACTGCGTGCTTCAAAGTGGCGCCGCAATCGATCCGGCGCCGAGGCACCGCCCTCTTTCTTTCGGATTCCTCGGCATTTATCATACGTATACCTTCTAATATACTTTCTCTGTCCTTTTCAAAGTCCCTACTTTCGGAACTGGGGTGGTGGGGGAGCAGGGGGTTGCACCTCCTCCGCGGCACCTTCTGATGGAAGGGGAGAAAAGGAAGGGGGTGGGGGTGGGGGGTGGGGGGAAACCCTGTGCTCCCGCGAGTTGGGGGGGGGGAACGAGTTGTAATCTTCCCCCGGTTTCAACCGACCGGGGACGTCTGTTCCTAGTTTCTCCGTTGCTACCGCGGCAGTTTTCTTTTCTGCCTTGTATCTTTTTATACAGTTCATTACTTCCCTCCGTGGTTTACCGAGTTTCTTTGCCTTTTTATAATCATTAAGCACTGAGTCAAATAGTTCATCACCAAACTTTCGCCACTCACTCTCCTCAAATATTGTATTAGGATCTGCAAAAAAAATCCCTTAGCCTTCCCTAGCCGCTAGACCTGCTAGCTGCTTTAGAGTCTCAGGCTCAATTCCCCGCTTTATAAAAAGCACTGTAAAAAGTTCAGGGCTCAGTTCCCCGCTCTTATAAAAAGCACTGTAATAAGTCCAGGGCTACCTCTCGGTCCATTTTCATGGCCAGCCTTTTCCGGATCATCTTCTTCTGGGTCGTCCTGTAACCTCGGTCTCCGGATCGGCCTCCCGACGCAGCAGTGTCTGGTTCGCCCCAGCGGCGGATTCCTTTCGGTTAGTCCGAGCACCCGGGTCCGTCACGCCACCGCAGCAGCATTGCCCGCGCTTCCCGGCCACTGCCGCCGGCGCCGCTCACTCGCCGTTCCAGGTCCCCGTCGAGCGGGGCCGTGTATCCGGGTCCCCGTTAAACCGGGGCCCTGTATCCGGGTCCCCGCTAGTCGGGGCCCTGTATCCGGGTCCCCGTCGACCGGGGCCCTGTATCTGGGTCCCCGCTAGTCGGGGCCCTGTATCCCGGGTCCCCGCTAGTCGGGGCCCTGTATCTGGGTCCCCGTCGACCGGGGCCCTGTATCCGGGTCCCCGTCGACCGGGGCCCTGTATCCCGGGTCCCTGCTAGTCGGGGCCCTGTATTCCGCGTCCCCGCTAGTCGGAGCCCTGTAATCCGGGTCCCCAGCGACCAGGGCCCTGTAGTCTGCGTCCCTGTTCGGGCGCCATTTGTAAGCGGCGAGGAAAAGCAGACACGCTAACCCAATATGGGTGATAAGCAGCTTCTGCTTTATTTGTGACGCAGTTCACATATATATAGGAGTGGTATTCAGCCACTCCTTCTTGGCACAACAGTATTGGTTAGCCCCCCCACAGCTTCCTCCACATTCTCCTCCCAGGTCCGATCTCCGGCCACCTGTGGGGGCCACCCCCTGCCTTGCTTGCACAGTCCTCCAGAACTCTATGGTCCTGCTCTTAGAGTCATTCTGCAACAGCACCTAAAGACTAGATTTTATGGGGAGGAAAAAAAATATTAACGTAGGGACAGCATCTGCAACCAATGGGATTCACCTTCTTCTACCCCATAAATATTAATTTTGGCATTTTGAGCCTGTGTCGTGGAGCCAACATCATGGAGCCCCTTGAGAGGCAGGAGGGAAGTCTGCACTGGAGATGTGTCATGGTTTCAACCCAGCCGGCAGCTAAGGACCACGGGGCCACTTGCTCACCCCTGTTCTGTTCCCCTGGGTCAGCTGTCCTGTCTCTGCTTCCTCCTGGCTTCCCCTCCTCCCTGGCAGAGCATGAGACTCAGAAAGTCCTTGGTCAGACTAAACATTACTTAGCAACAACTAAAAACATCGGTGTTATCAGCGTCGTTCCGAGGCTAAAGTCAAAAACACAGCACTGCACCAGCTACTAAGAAGGAGAAAAATGACGGCTACTGCTGGACCCAGGACAGTAAGGAAACATTTTTCCTTGCTACCTGCAAGTGTAAACTCAACATCCCCAAGCTTTCATACACATAGCCCTTTACAAAATCTTAACTACTTCCATTGCCAGATAACATGCCCACCATTTTGGAGTCTGTCCTGGACTTCTGGGTGGCCCACTGCATGCTGCCTGGTGCTCTTCAGATACAGCCCAGCAAGGGTTCCCAGTCCCTCTCCCCCTCCTGTCTCCAGACCAGAGAGCACTGTCCCTTCCCTTTGCTGCAGCAGCAAGGGAGCACTGGAAAAAGAAGCGGGCAAGACTACTGGGAAAACGGTGACAAGCTATTCCGCTGTCGGGAAGGAGCAGTGCTCTCAAACAGCTGTGTGTGCAAGGCACTGCAGCAGGTCTGCATGTGCCTCCCTTGGGTGCTGTCCCCAAGCAATGGGGTGGTGCTGGCCACCTCCAGCCAGTGGCCCAGTGTCAAGGAGGAAGCCTCGGCCACGGGGCAGCAGTTCCAAAGGTGATGACCCGCAGAGAATGTCACTGTCAGCTCATTGTGATGTGTGCGGAGAGCTGACAGGGAAGCAAAGACCTACTGAGGAGGCCACTGCCAGTGACTGTGGCCACCCTGTGGGCAGAGGGACAGTTGCCCCACATGCAGGCACCTCACATGGCGCACTGGGGTCATATTTCTTCTCCCAGCTGGGCACAGCAGATGATCCTGAGGTACCCCGGACACCACAGGGTGCAGATGGCGTCTTCTTCCTGGGAGAGGAAACGTTGCAGCTCAGAGCTGGACAAAGCAGCAGCTTTTCTCCCCAGCCTTGTTTCTAGCGACTACCTCGGGACCAGCTTTCAGGCAGTCCACGGAGTGCTGCTCTTTGCAGATATTTCAGGTAGGGTGCGCAGGGAGGAGCAACTGTGACATCGAGGAACGTGAGCCATTCTGGCACACACCAGGCCCTTTGGAGCCCTGCCCCTGCTGCTGATAGTGAGTGGCCATAATGAATGCTGAGGTCTTCTGCTGGGATTCCCAAAAAGGATGGGCTATCATGGGTGGTTAAGCACTGCTGCAACCCACACTGTGTTGGGGCATGGGAAGGTGCCGGGCTGGGCACCCCGGCTGGCCAGTGTGGAACTGGCTGCCAGGTCCTTTGGTCCCCAGGGCATTCATTTCCTGATTTCTGGGTGTCTCTGTTACAGATTTCACCTCTTTGACAGAGCACTGTATCTGGAAGGGTGGTTCACAGAGAGGCACTGATGAGTTGGCGGAAGACCTCAATCACTACCTGTGTGACGTTTTGGAGGGTAAGAGCCATGCTGCAGGACTGCCTGGCGGCAGGCCATAGGGCTGCTCATGGAATGGGGAGGCTGGTATCCTGGGCAACCTAGTCCTGCTTCCTTGGAAGGGCTGGGACTTTCTGTGGCCTGGAGGAACAGTGAGAACAGCCAGGCTCTCCTGGCAAGTCAGGACAAGTGCAGGTCCTTTCTGCTCCCCACTGTGGCCAAGGAGGCACCCACTTTCTCAGCAGCCACCTCTGTGCTTCTGATGGGAACACCCAGCTCCATGGTGCCTGGGGGCCCAGAGCAGGCTGAGAGCACCAAGCAAGTGCCAGCGCACAAGTGACCTGGACATGCTGGCACTGGCGTTGTGTGGGAAAGACAGGGAGAGACAGAGACCCTTCCAAGCCCATTTTCTCAGGGGATGTCTTGACCCTTCTGAGCTGATTATGAGCACATTCTGGACACCCCTTTGGCAGCATTTGTAAAGAAAAGCAGAAGAGGCCTCGAAGAGGATGAAGGGTCTAGAGCATCTCTCCTACAAGGAAAGGCTGGGGGAACTGGGCCTGTTTAGCCTAGGGAAGAGAAGGCTTCAGGGGATCTTACAGTAATGTGTCTAAAACTTCAAGGGAGGGAGCAGATTAGACAGAGCTAGGCTCTTTCCAGTGGTGCTCATTGTCAGGACCAGAGGCCATGCCATGGGCACGCACTGAAGCACAGCAGTTTCCCTCTGTAAGTTGGGAAACACTTTTTGGCTGTGAGGGGTGACTGACTGATTGCCAGGGAGCTTGAGAAATCTTCCTCTTTTGGCTCTTCCAAAGCCATCTAGCCAGCATCCTGGGCAGCTGGCTCTGCCCCGCTTGAGAGCAGGGTTGGACCAGATGGACCCCAGAGGTTCCTTCCAGCCTCCACCATTCTGAAAATTAGGTGGCAGCTTGAGGCCATGCCTCTGTGCCTTCTGTGCAGGTACCAGGGCTGCAGCCCCTGGGAGCCTGGGAGGCAGGCCAGGGTGGTGCTTTTCCTAAGCTGTGCCGGATAGTGCACCGTCGCCTGGGTGCTCCGCTCTGAGCACGGGGGCTTCCTTTGTGGATTATGGAAGAAGGTGTCCACATGACTCTTCCTTTCCTTCCCTCTGTCTCCAGACATGCTGACTCTTGGAGGTGACATCTTGAAGTTTGCTGGTACGTACTTAGGATGATGATGCCCATGGGTATTAATCTGCAGCACGGGACTGCTGTGGCAGCTCTGCTGTCCTCCTTCAGAGGCTCTGTGCAGCACCTTGAGCCATCTTCCTGGCCACTCTCATACGCCTTTGCAGCGCCCTTTCTCCAGGCTTCTCTTCCCACCCTGGGCCTGCAGTTTGGCTTCGGCAAGGGTGGTGGCTCCCCTCCCTCTGCCTCAGCTTGCAGGGCTCTGTGCTGGGGGTGAGGGCAGAGGCAGCACTGAGAGGAGGAGACCTACTAGAAGGTGAAGCCGAAGGCATTTATTGGAGTGCTGGTGAGGGACGGGGGGACGGGGGAATGGAGGGACGGGCTGGTGACAGCACAGCTCAGGCTGCCAGGCCGCAAGAGGAGGAGGAGTCCCAGCGAGTCCAGAGGTCCTCCAGAGGCCTATGGCCTCCCACAAGTCCATCTTTTTCAGCACGTCATCTGGTTTCTGCTGTCCCTGCCATGGAGCGTAGGTCAGGGAGAGTCAGGTCTCAGCAGAGCCTTGACGTTCCCTTGCTTTCCCCAGGGGATGCTGTGCTGCTGCTGTGGAGAGCAAGACCCAGTGAGATGGCCAAGACCATCAGCCTTGTGGTGCACTGTAGCTGGCAGATCCAGAAGAAGTACCGGAGGCATGACATGCTCGTGGGTCAGAAATTCCGACTTAAGATAGGTACAAGTGCTGTGCCAGGTGCAGATCTGTGGCACTCTCCTGTGCTTCACACTGGCAGGGAATGCGGGGATCCCCGCCTGGGGCTAGCGCCAAAGGAAAGCATCTCCTGCAAGCATTCAAGGGGCCACCTGTAGTTGGACACCAGACCACTGGGTTTGTGTGCGTTCACAGTTAGAATTAAACCTGGCAAGGGATCTGAAAGATAACAGGAAGAGCTTCTATAGGTATGTAGCAAATAAAAAGACAGACTAGGGCAACATGGGCCCTCTCCAGAAGCTATCAGGAGAACTGGCTACCCTGGATTTGGAGAAGGCTGAGGTTCTTAATGACTTCTTTGCCTCAGCCGTCACTGGCAAATGCTCTGAGCACACCACCCAAGTCCTGGAAGGCAGATGCAGGGACTGTGAGAATGAAGACCTTCGGCCCACTGTAGGAGGGGATCTGGTTCAAGATCATCCTAAGAACCTGAATGTGCACAAACCCATGGGAACTGATGCAGTCCGTCTGCGGTTCCTGAAGGAGCTGGTGAATGAAGTTGCAACTGTCCATCATATTTGAAAAATCATGGCAGTCATGTCAAGTTCCTGACGACTGGAAAAAGGGAAATATAACCCCCATTTTCAAGAAGGGGAAAATGGATGACCCAGGGAACTACAGACCAGTCAGTCTCACCTCTGTGCCTGGCAAAATCTTGGAGCAGATTCTCCTGGAAGGCATGCTAAGGCACATGAAAAACAACAAGGTGCTGGGTGACAGCCAGCATGGCTTCACTAAGGGGAAATCCTGCCTGACCAATTTGGCGGCCTTTTGGGTGACATGGTCTAGTGCGAGATGGCAGTGGGGTTGGATCTAGGTGATCTTAAGGTCCTTTCCAGCCCTCACTGTTCTATGGTTTTATGATTCTGTGAAGCTCAAAGGAAGAGCAGGTGTCAGGTTGAATACTGGGGTCTTTGAGCATCTGCTGTCGGCCAGATGCCTGCAGGAGGAACTTATCCCTTCATTTTTCAGGTGGAGGCAGCTTTGCATCCTTTTCCGTGTTGGATTCTCCCCTGCCTTTCACAAAGAGCAAAGGAGAGCTGCATTGCTTAAGGCTGTGAGAAGGGTTTTGCAGGCTGCAGTTTTTCTTGAGCAGACAGCTACAACCCGCCTGCATGTAAAGGGGGTGGGCGGTGATCAGGGGCTTGGTTTGCTGGGTTTCTGGGGCAGGTTAAGACAGCCAGCACTCTCAACACAGTGTCACTGTCCACTTGGTTTGTCTATTTCTTAACACCCATTTAAGGGTCCTGTGTCAGTAGCCCCTCGAGAAGGATGGAGGATGCCCTCCCCCTCCATAATGACCATCTCCCCACTGGGGTTCAGATTGGCTTCTGAACAGCTGAAATGCTGGAGGCTGTAGAGCTCTGCTTCTCCCTCTCTCTCTCCCAGGGATCTCTGCAGGGAATATGCACCACCTGAGGTTTGGAGACGAGAGGCAGCAGTACTTCTGTGTCATTGGCAAGGCCCTGGAGGATGTCTGTGAGGCCGAAAAGCTTGCGGAAGCAGGTGAAATTGTCCTCTCAGCCTCCTGCTGGGAGCTATGTGAGAAGCACAGGCTCAGAACCAGCCATATTGCGGGCAAAACAGCTGTGAAGGTAGGTGGATGGGACAGCATCTAGAGCCATTCTGAGGACCTGGACCTGAAGGAGGGAGGCCTCAGAAAGCTGAAGAGCTGAATGTGGAGAGAGTTGTAGCTCTGAAAGGGGAGAGCAGCTGATGCTCTTGTCCTTTTATGTTAGGAGTAACTCTGGGCTGGGCTTGCTTGGTTTGAGGGGTCAGGAGGCACTGGAAGAGTTTTGGCCCCACCAGCAGTGTCCTCCGTGGGTCACGGAGCTGTTGACAGCTGGGGGATGCTTGGAAGACGTCTGCTCAGCTCCAGGGTTTCTGAGGAAGCACTGCTGTCCTGTCCAGCCAGATAGGCTTCTTCTCCCCTTTTCTGGACAGTGACAGTGGAGGGCAGGATCTGTCCCCTGGGACTCCTGGAGAAGCCAGTGTCAAGTGCTTTCCTTCTGTGTACCTTCAGGTTACGGGCATGAACCAGATGTCTCTGTCGGAATGCCAAAATGTTTTAGACAAGCTTCCACAGAAGGAGAAGTGCTGCTTCACGGAAAACGAATGTGAGTGCCAGATTCACCTTGTTTTGGTTTTGCTTGGAAACATGGGGCCTGGCTGCTGCAGGGGTCAGGGATGAACTACCGCTCCCCTCTTCCCCTCTCAGTTAGCAGTCATGCTTTTGGCCCTCTTGTGCATCAGCTGGGGCAGTTGCTGCTGCTGCCATCTCCTTCCAGGGGACAGCTCTGCCCTAAGCACCTGCAGGTGGCAACACAAGCAAACGCAGGAGTCTCTCCCCTGTTGCCAGTGCTAGCCCCTGCTTTCCAACAGCTCGTAGTCCCATCTTCCCACAGCAACCATGTGTGTTTCCTCTCCGCAGATGCTGTCAGGCCTGCTCTTTTCTTGAACCCTGATACTGATGTGGGAGACATACTTAGTTACATCCCAAAAGCTGTTCTCAGGAAGGTACGCCTGGGCCGTTGCTGCTGGGGCTGCTTTTTTTGCAGGGCAGAAGAAGTGGTGCATTCAGAGAGGGAGTTTCCATGAGAGCAAGCCAAACAAAGAAAATGCATCCCGAGATGACAATGTGGGCAAATTAGGCCAAGGGGCACAGGTGCTGCACCACTGGATGAGTTGTCCTCAGAGAGATGGGTGGTGGGGCAGACATTTGCATCTCTTGTCTTTTCTGTGGGTATGGCTCTTCATGTTCTGTGGACGTGATGGCAGGATAGAGGGGAGAATCCACTGAAGCCCCATGAGCATCGCTCAGTGTCACCACTCATGTCCGTAACTGTCCCAAGATGGGGTGTTACCGGAGCGCCCTTCTCGCCTTTGTCATTTGTGTTCTGATTTGGTATCTGACTGCTGCAAGCTGGGCAGCCTGCCGACCATTTAAACCGAGAGGAGGATCTTCTCTTCCCCTACTAGTACCTGCTATTGCCAGGACACCAGCTCTCCCTTTGTACCTGGCGTGGGCAGCCCCTGGGAGAGCAGGCTTGTGAAGCCGTCATGCTCTTGTCTTCCAGCTTGAAGACAGAGTGCCGCAGGACTTCCTCTGTGAGCTACGGCCAGTCACCATCCTCTTCCTCCACCTGAATTTTGATACAAAGGACATAGTATCTTTCCGCAGTGTCCTCAGTGAAGTCAGCAGCCTGATGCAGGAAATCGTCTGTCCTCACAAGGGTGAAGTGAACAAAGTCTTCCTGTTTGACAAAGTGAGTGTGAGGTGGAATCATCTCCCCCCAACCCAAGAGGGTGGATACTGAGCAAGAGGGGAAGATTCCTTCTTAGGCATTGTGGCAAGATGTGCTGCATCTGTCCTTGGCAGGGCTGTACATTCCTTTGTGTGTTCGGACTCCCTGGAGTAAAGCTGGCCCATGAGAGCATTCATGCCTTGCAGAGTGCTTTTCAGATCTTCAACTCGTGCTCCAAGATCATTGCAAAAACAGGGTGAGTGTCTGGTGGGGCTGAGGGAGCGCATGCTGCCTGGGCCAGCGTAAAGCAGAGGAAGAAAGAGTGTTGCGTCTAGCTTACCCTCCCCTGTCCTCCCTTCCTTGGCAGGAAGGAAACAGTGCCCTGAGAGGTGGCAGGCAACCCCTGGGCTTATCCCTGGGCAGCCAGGCAGAGTGTCTCCAAGCACACCCTGCTAGCCACCATGCTGGAATGAGCCCTAGTGAAGGCGAGAGGCTCCTTGGTGCCAGAAGCAGCACCTTCTGGGTGACTGGCCTGTGAACAGTGATGGGGCCTAGACACCTGATCTTACATTGCTGTCATCACAGGCAGTGACGCTGTGGCACCTTCTTCCCTCCCTCTTTTCCCACTGGTCACAGGTCACAGCTCAGGGAAGGGGGTCTCAGGAGAAGTGCCCAAAAGTTCCTGCCTGTGCTCTAAGCCCTGTTCCTTGTCCTTGCCGCCTGGGTCCTTTACAGCCCTGAGCTCTCTGTACCCCGAACCCCAGGCTGGCAGGGCAGGATGGCCAGTGGCCCAGGCTAGTGCTGAGGGGAGATGCGGGAAGAGATGAAGCTGGGTGGGCAGGACTGCACCTGGAGCGCTTCTGAAGCCGTGTTGTTTCCCTGTGTGCCAGGACAGTGTCTGTGTCTGTTACCAGTGGGATGGCGTTCTGTGGCCTCATTGGCCACCCTCTGAGGCACGAGTACACAGGTACAAGCACGTGTGTGCGGTGTGGGAAACTGGCGTGAGCTGTTGGGAAGAGGAAGACAGGCTGGGGAGAGTGCCTGTCCAACAACCAGCCAGGAATGGCCCAGGCAGCACCAGTCCTGGGCTGGGGTGGGACACTGGGCTCCACAGCTGGTTGTTCCCCTGGGATCTGCTTAACCCACTGTGGGGCTGCGGGTGTCGGATGTAGGGCAGCCGTTGGTCTGGAAGGGCACTGTGGAGCTGGTGGCACAGGTACATCACTGTGTGCTCTTTCTTCATCTCTCTGGCAGTCATTGGCCAGAAGGTGAACTTGGCAGCCCGGATGATGATGAGCTACTCTGGGCTGGTGACCTGTGATACCACAACCTGTGCCAGCTCTGGGCTGCCCTCTTGCTACTTCAAGGAGCTGCCGGAGAGAAAGATGAAAGGCTTCAAACATCCTGTCACTGTCTATCAATATGTGGGGATCACCACCAACAGGTGAGTGTCCTCTTGAGAAGTCTGGATGAGGGGATGGTGGCATCAAGGGTCCAGCTTGGCCAGCATAGAGGAGTTCTGCAGAGAGAGCAGAAGCCGCTCTCCATTCACTGTGGATGAGACGGTCAGAAGCCCTGGTGTAGGAGGCTTTTTACCTCTCTTCCCTGCTGTTTCCTCTTGCTGGGAGAGTGGGAGTGAAACCACAGGAATGGGGAAGGTTTTGTTTTGGTAGACACAACCTGGCTTTCAGGCTCTGTCCAAATGGCTTTCAAACTGTGCTTTCCGTGCTGTGCTCGCTCTACCACATGCCCTGGTAATGCTGACCCAAGAAGGTTTTGTCCTAGCTGCTCTTGAGTGGGAAGCTTTGGGCCAGTCTGGTTCCCATGGATAAAGGTGGACCCTCAGGACATTCTTCATCATGTCTTCCTCCTCAAACCTGGGCTCTTCCTCTGGGCCAGGATTTGACCTTCTTTTTGGATGATGGTTTGAATGTTAGTCTCTGAAAATACAGGAAGACTTAAGCCAGAGGTGCCAGGTGCTTGGAATCCCAGCCCATTGGGTCCTTGTTTCCAAGACTCTCGGTTTTTCCTGGCCAACGCAGTAAAGATATCTGCTAACCAGCAGCTCACTCTTGCTTCTTTCACATGTCTCTGGGTCTGGCCTCTGTTGACGGACTCTCAATATATTCTCTTGTCCTGGTGTGGCTGTTGGGTTTCTTAATGCTTAAAGCTCTCTCAGCATGCCAGCTTGAACTTTGGTGGGGGGGAGCATGCAGGGGATAACATGCTGCTCGAAAGAAAAACAGGTACCCTGAGGAGCACATCCAGCCCCTCCATGCCAGGCTGCTTCTTGATGTCCCTTGGCTTCTAACCAGCTAACTGACTTGTACTTTCTTTTTCCCCTGCTCCTAGCATATTTGGCATGGCTCTTGCCATGAAGATGCCAGAGAACGCCTCCTTGCTGGGTATGTGGAGAATGCCTTGCTCTTCTGAACCCCAGTTTCTTCCCCTCAGTAACATGTATTGGGAACGGAAAAGGTTTTGCTGGGGATAATGTTGCCTGCAGAGGCCCTGAGGAAGTGCTGGCTCTCTCAGTGCCTACTTAGTTGATATCTTTGGGGTGGGAAGCAGGGTGAGGCGCTCGGTGATCCCAGGCAGGCTCCAGACCTGATAGGAAGGTTTGTTTCAAGCTGCTCACACCCTGGGGGCTAAACCAGTCCCACATCCTTGGGATCAGGAAAGAGATTTCCTTCTGCTAGACTGATGGGGAGTTTTGGTGGTTGGTTCTCCCCCTTGTACTCCTCAGAGGTGCTTTCTTGGCAGCATCTGCTTGTAAACATGGAAAAGTCAAGCATCACGGACGCCTTTAATCACTCAGTGTCTTGCTGGATGTTTTGGGCCCTGTCATGGGTTAACCCCGGTAGGGAACTCAGCCCCACACGGCTGCTCACTCCCCACAGTGGGATGGGGAAGAGAATTGGAAGGGTAAAAGTGAGCACACTGGATACGGACAGCTTAATAGGTAAAGCAGCTGCTGTGCATCCATGACAGGCAAAATCAGGCATTCTTTCACTGCCTCCTGGTGGCAGGCAGGTGTCCAGCCATTCCCAGGAAAGCAGAGCTTCAACATGTGTATCAAGGACTTGGGAAGACAAACACAGGAACTCGTAATGTGCCCCCTTCCTCCTCCTTTTCCCCAGCTTTTCTTGCGAAGCACAGCATCATATGCAATGAAATAAGCCAGCTGGGGTCTGCTGTTGCAGCTGTGCCCCATCCCAACTTCTTGTGCACCCCCAGCCTGCTTTTGCTGGCAGGGTGGCATGAGAAATAGAAAATGCCTTGATGCTGTGCAAGCCCTCTTCAGCAAGAACTAAAACACGGTTGTGTATCAACACTGATGTGCTCTGTGGCCAGTCGTACAGCCAGGAGAAGATGTTCTAAGTCTGTTTGGGACACAGCTGCCTGAAGCAACTCAGATCATCCCTTCCAGCCTTGTACTGGATCCCTGAGGGGGGATTTGCATGGGGCTGTCTGAATCTCTGTGGGACAGGGCATCCGCTACCACTCTGAGGAAGGCAGAGGTGCAAAAGCTGGGACAAGAGGGTTGGAAGGCAGCAGGGGTATCGTAGGCTGCCAGATGTGGTAGTGGGAGGGAAGCTGTGGTGGAGGGTACCAGCCAAAGGGATGGCTCTTTGCTTTCTAGCATGCCCCAGCAGCTCATTTTCTTGTTTGTCTTCACAGGTCGGAAGAAGGAGATTGACCTCTTTGTCAACTGCTTGGAAGCCTCTAACCGTTTTGGACAAAGACACATACTGGCATTTGAGGGCGCAAGGGGCGCTGGGAAGAGCCAATTACTTAATCACCTGTCCCAGTTAGGCCAGTCTGCTGGCTGCAGGTACAGGGTTTTGTCCTGTAGTTTTGGGACACTGCTTCTTTCCATCCCTGAGAGCCATGGAACGCTCCAGCCCCTTGGCCAGTGTGCCTTGGCCTTGGACTGAAGCCTCCTCAAAAAGCCTCATGGAGGCATTCCATAGTTATCTCCTGCGTGCTCTGCTCCTACCCCTGTCTCTTTGGGGTGTTGGAGGTGCTTCTTGACCTGTGGTGTTTCCTCCTTCACAAATAGAAGGAAAAAGCCCAAACTCGGTGCTTTGCATTGGATTCCAGATGCAACATATAGCAGGGTGGCCTGTCTCAGAAGCCCTGCTTGCCCCCTGACTGTTTCCCAGAAGGAATACTGGGCCAGAAAAGCCTCTCTGTGGCTGAGAGGCAGACTGCTAAGGTCTGGAGCCCAAAGGCAAACTCCACTTGCTCCATGATCACCTCTTAGCTCTGCAAGTCCCTCTGCAGTAGGGAGGTAGGGAGACATGGACCAGCGCTGCAGAAACCAGAAGGGGTCTGGACCTAGCTCTCCCAGTGGCTTGGCAGCAACTGCCTCTCTGTGCCCTTTCTCTTACAAGGAGTGAAACTCCCGGTACCACTTTGAAGTGGGAGGCTGAAGAGTTCCCCCTAAAGGCAACTCCAGCTCTTTTGTCTTAGAAGACTTGGGCCGTTGGGGATCTCAGTGCCTTTTGCTTTTGCATGGCAGGGTATTTGGCATGGAACTGCTAGAGGTCAACGTGAGGCAGTCCTTCTCTGCCATGCGTATTCTGATGGCCAGGGTGATGGGCCTCCATGAGTGTGAATCGTGCAGTGCCAGGGAGCACGTGCTACGGACAAATCTCAACGGGATAATCGAAGAGAGCAACTACTGCCTCCTCAATGACATCTTCCTTGTCAAGGTGAGAGCGAGAGGCCTCTCTGACCCTGGAGAAGGCTTTCTCCTGAGCCCTTCTGGTTCTTCAGCAGTCTTCTAAGGCTGCTGGAGTGCCTTAGCTCAGGGGGAGGGATTGCAGGGGGTCACAGCACATGTTTCCCATTCCTGGCCCCGGGGGCTGCCTGTATGTGGTGACTTAATGTCCCGCGCTGCATCTGGCAGTGCCTGGTGCCTTGTTCGGCATTCTGGAAGCAGCACTGGAATGAGGCTGGGTCTGACCTTGTGCTGAGGTCATTGCTGTGTGAGTGGTCTGCTCCAGCCAGCCCAAGATCCCACAGTCAGAGAACCAGCTCTTCAGCCCACCGCCAAGATGCAGCTCTGCCTGAGCCTCTGCTTTAGGCTCTAGTTGAAGTCCCACTGTGGCCTCTTGCACCCGTGCTGGGGAGAGGGAAGGTGCTGAGGCAGAGCAGGGAGGGTTTGCTCTGCCATCTTGCTTGGTGGGTAGGTGTAGCGAGCCCTGGAGACATGTTTCTCCCTGACTTTGCTTTTCTGTCTAGTTTCCCATTTCAGACAAGGTTCGCCAAATGCATGAAATGCAAAGGAAAGAGGAATTGCATTCAACCTGGGCAAAAGTGCTAGAGAAGGTGAGCATTTCTCCTTTTCTCCTTCTGGGTCAGAGGAGGAAAACAACCCTGCTGGCTCTGGGCTCTGCGCCACAGCAGTGTGAGTGGGTGGGAGGACCTGGTCCTTGCCCTCTAGGGCCTGAGAAACCCCCCATGTTCTCTCCATAGCCCGACAAGCATACTAGTAACTTTCCTCCCTTAAAGCGTTCCCTGGAGGAGAGAGAATTCTGCGTTCCCTTGCCCAAGCTCCCTCCTTCTGCAGGGCAGGTGATGTTAAGCATGACCTGAAAATCTCAAAGAAATTAGGCATTGGGAAGCTTCCAAGCACGGAGTTGGTTGGGGTGAGACTTGAGAGCATCCTCTCAAGAGACAGAGGCAAAATCTCCTTCCCTGTAAGACACTTGAGAATCCACTGGATTCCCCTCAGAACAACTCTTTTTTTTCCAGACCATTGACAGAAATGCCATATTTGTCATCGACAATGCCCATTTCATTGACCCCGCCTCCTGGAGTATCATGGCACCTCTGCTCTGGAACATCTCTGTCTTCATGGTCATGAGCTTATGTCCCGGCTTTGCAAGAACCGAGAGCTTTCACAAAGCCACAGCAAACAACCTGATGTCCCATAAAATCATCTGCTTTCAACTAGAGAAGCTGAAACCTTCAGCTGTGGTGCAGAAGCTCTGCCAGGACCTTGGAGTGGTCAGCATCCCTAGGGCTTTAGTGAGGTAAGTTGGAGCAGGGGAGCTCCCTGGACACGAAGCATAGGAGCTGCCAACCCTTTGCTGTTTCACAAGGAGGAAGGGAGGAAGACCCCCAAGGCCAAGCATATCTGGGGTGTGAAAAGGGCTTGGTCTAAGTGGCCAGGCTGTGTGGCAGATTCCCTGGGGCAGAGGTCTGCCCTGCTGCCAGAGAGCACCTAAGCTCCTGAGGAGAGGAAAGGCAGGGCTTGCTGCTCTGTGCTTTGGGCACTGTCTGCAAGTCTTTCCCCAGGGACTTCAGCAAAGGCTGGAGGTTCAGGGGGGCCAAAAACCACATGCCAGCAGGAGGACCTCCCTTTCAGAAGTGAGGTGTAGCTGTGACAAAGATGCTGGCTCCCCAGCTATGCCTGAGTGGCTTGCTACCCACCTCAACTGTTTTTCCTTTTAGGGTGGCGAGTCACTGGAACATGTTGTCCAAAGATGTGGTGAATGCTCCACCCCTGGGAGGGTTCAAGGTCGGGTTGGACAGAGCCTTGGGCGACATGGTCTAGTGTGAGGTGTCCTTGCCCATGGGAGGGGGTTGGAACTAGATGATCCTAAGGTCCTTTCCAAACCAACCCATTCTATGATTCTACTTCTCTTGTGCTGATCACTGCTGGATCTGTTCCTGCCCAGGTTCCTGGTCCAAAGAAGCTTGGGGATCCCGTATTACTTGGAGGAGCTGGTGCACTTCCTTCGTTGCAACGACATGCTCTTGTTCCGCACCAAGAAGTGGGGTGAAAAAGCAGAGGACAGCTGGGAGAACCTGAACAGTAAGAACCTTTGCCACTGACTAATGAGTTGCTGTGTTGCATTCCCTACAGCACAAACTTGCCCCTTCATTGCCCCATGGATTAGGGGCAGAGTAAGATCTTGCAGCAGATCATGCAGAACTTGGCCTGGCAGAGGCACGGGCTTCTGTGTGCCTTGTTGTCAGGACAGCCAAAGCAGTGGCTCACAAGTTGTGGCTTGGAGGGGCCTCAGTTCTTGGGGCTAAACCTCAGGGGAAATGGTTCTGGACCACGTAGGTTGTGGTCGTGAGACGTTCTCATGAGCACAGAACTTATGTTGGCCAAATGCTAGCTTAACTGAGAACAAACTCCAGCTTGAGGTGAGGGCCAGGAGCGGGAAACTTCCAGTGAAAACTATTTTGCTCTGCTTAGAGAGCATGTTCAGCACCCGCAGGTCAGTGCACCTGTACTGTGTGGTGTGAAGGGGCCTTGGACTATTTCAGGTGAACTTGGAAACATTTTCAGGCTGCAGGTCACTTTGCAAATTGCCTCATTCCTTCTCTCTTGCTCCACCTAGCTTTTGCAGTCTTGGAGTCATCCCTCACAGCAAGCTCAAGGTCCAGAGCAGGGGCTGCGGCCATGATCTGCATTGTAAGGCCAGGCGTGAACCTGGACAGCACCATGCTGCCCAGTAACTTGAAAGGTGAGGGGCAGAGAGCCACTCTGCTGGCTCTTGGCTGTGCCGCAGGGGCTGGAGGGAGGCTGGGCATCACTGTGCTGCAGAGTCACCCTCTCAGCTTTGGGGCTGTCCTTGGAAAAGGTGGCTCTGCTCCAACCAGCAACAGTCCTGGCATTGTGGGCAACCATTTTTCCTTCCTGTGTGTGGAGCAGCTTGAGCCTGCTGGTTGCTTTCCAGCAGCAGGTAGAAGAGGAAAAGTTGTTGATGCAACACTAAAATGACTCCCTTTTCTCACAGAAGCAAATCTTCTAATGGGACAAAAATTTGACTTGCCTCTGACTCACCTTTGAACACAGCTTCTATCTTGCTACTTTCTTTTTGAGTTCCCCAGCTAACAGTGGTTTCATGGCATGTTGTGGTGGTTTAAGCCCAGCCACGCATCTCACACTGTCACTCCCCCCCACCCCCCCACCCCCCCTCCCGGAGGGATGGGGAGGAGAATGGAAAGAATGTAACTCCAATGGGTTGAGATAAGAACAGTTCAGTAACTAAGGTATAACACAAACCACTACTGCTACCACCAATAATAATAATGATAAGGGAAATAACAAGGGAAGAGAATACAACCGCTCACCACCTGCCAACCGATACCCAGTCCGACCAAGCAGTGATCTAACCCTTCCTGGTAACTGCCCCCAGTTTACATCCTGGGCATGATGTGCTGTGGTATGGAATACCTCTTTGGCTAGTCTGGGTCAGCTGTCCTGTCTCTGCTTCCTCCTGGCTTCCCCTCCTCCCTGGCAGAGCATGAGACTCAGAAGATCCTTGGTCAGACTAAACATTACTTAGCAACAACTAAAAACATCGGTGTTACAAGCGTTGTTCCGAGGCTAAAGTCAAAAACACAGCAGTGCACCAGCTACTAAGAAGGAGAAAAATGACTGCTACTGCTGAACCCAAGACACACGTAATTAAAAAAAATAAACCACTTTCCTGTGGATTTTCATGGAAGTTCACCTGTAGCCAGGGGAACTGTCAATGACTGTTGAATGTCCCTCCTGTCTGTCAGTAGCCATTTGTATGAACCTTGAAGAAACATTCCTGCTCTTAAGTTGTTTTGCCCAAAGCAACCCAAGAAGAAAAGTCAAAGAAAAGAAGAGTAAGGTCTGGCTGAGTTGAGACAACCTTTCTCGGGAGCTCTGAGTTCACCTCTGAGGTGGTGAAAGTTGTCTGTTCCCTGCTTGCAGGGCTGGCAAAAACCTAGTCCAGGTTTGGCAGGGCACATTGTGGGACGCATGTACCTGCTGGATCCTGCCCTATCCCAGTGGGGGAGTGTGTCTGTTGAGTGTCTCACTTTTTCCCAGGCCCTGTGAACTGCAAATCCAGTAGGAGCGGAGCCATTGTGCAGACACCTGTCCTGGGCTGCAATTGCCCAGAAGTGGCCAGTGTAGGGCCAAAGCCTATCCTGTTCATGCGTCGAATCTTTGCAGTGCCTCCAGCCTCAGTGTGGGGAAGAGGTAGGACTGAGACGTGTGGCTTCTCCTTGACAGAGATTGTGCTGGCTCAGCTGGACGAGATCACCCCACTGGAGCAGACTGTTTTGAAGTTTGCAGCCATCATCGGGCCGGTGTTCACTACCCAGCTGCTGTCATACATTCTTCCGATTAGAATGAGGCACAAGATGACTACCTTGTTGGACAGTCTAGTGAGTGACAACATCCTCAAGTGGACGGAGAGCACTGAGGAGCCAGAAGACGTCCAAGATCCTAGCAAGGAGCCAGCCACCCCTCCGCAGGCAGAGATTGGTAAGTGGTAGCAGTGGGGTGGACAAGGAGCTCCCAGATGGGCTCCTAAGGGCGTGGCGTGATTCCCTTCCTGTGAGGGCTGGCATGGCTGTTGGGGATGGGTTTGTCAAAGCTGTTACAAGTCAGTCTGAAAGCACACTAGGTTTGCACTGGAGGGAAGTTCCCACCAGCTGTCCCAAATGCCTCTGCTCCCCTGAATCCAAGTGCTGCTCGTAGCGCAGGCATGGGACGAGTGGAATCCCTGACATCCTCTCCCAGCCACCTGCAGCATCCAGACAAAAGATGCCCTCCAGAATGGCCCAGGGTCTTCAGCAAGCTTTTATTGGGCTTTGATTACCCTGTGATGCAGGGTTCCTGCTCAGGAGGCTGGTGGCTGCCATGCCAAGAGCGGGGAGAAAGTGCTGGCTGGGGCTTGCTTTGGCTGGCAACAACATCCCCAGCTCCTGCCTGGACCAGTGCAGCTGAGAACTGCATCCCCAAGGCTGTGCTAGCATCAGCCCTTTCACCCCATGCTGCAGGGCTTGGCGTGCAGCAGCACTGTTGCTATTCAGGATGTGCACCGAGGCATGACTGGCTCCCCATCTGGCCACAGCTTGGGCTCATACAAAGGCCCTTTGCCTTGCAGGTGTGGAGATCTCCCCCCCAAGCAAGCAGAGTGTGGGGTGTCCATTTGGTGTGCTGATGTTCCATAAGCCGCTGCTGCGGGAGGCTGCCTACGAGCTGTGGGTCCAGAAACAGCGGGTCACCCTGCACTCCAAGTGTGCTGCCTTCCTGGAGCGGTATGCACACAAATGCCAGAGCTGCGGCCAAGGGGACTTTATTGTCTTCCACCGCTTCGCTGTCAGCAGCACCCAGGACAAAGGGAGCTGTAAGGACTTTGATGATGGGGATGACCCACACACCTGGAAGGCCTTGGTGCTGGCTGGAAAACAGCTGAAGAAGGAGAGGTTTTACATCTCTGCAGGTATGCTGTGCACCATGCTCTGTAATTTGGGCCCTCCGGGAGCCCAGGGATTGGTGCTGGGGGTCGAGTGGGAGTAGATCTGCTAGGAACGAGCCCAGCAGGAGTGGACACCCACTGCAGACTTTCCTCAGTGTGTTAGCACCTTGCAAGGATCCTTGCAGGCCTACTGGGAGAGGGAGAGCAACTCTTATCCCAGGATACATGTGGGAGGTGTCCCTGGTTTTCTTTCAAGGTATTACAGATACTCAGGAGGAGCAGGAGCAGCAGCAGCAGCAAGCTTTTGTGGAAGAGGATTTTGGGTGAGCAGACAAGGTTCTGATTCTTTTTGAAGCGAGTGAGTTCAGGGTGTGCAGAGGAGACAAAGAAAATGCTGGCTTTTGGCTGTCAGCCGTGACTCTAGCTTAGCGAAGAGGCTTTCCGTGGGGTGGGAGCTGAGAGGAGATGGCTGTGGAGATGAGTGAGTGCTTAAGGACGCCCACGGCTCAGTGTCAAAGAAGCCCTCGCTTTCCAGTTCCTGCAGAGTAGTACTGCAAAATCTACAGGGAAAAAGCCACCACAAGGGCTCAGGTGGTTTGCCTGTGGGAGGTGACAGAAAGCCTAGCTTCTTCCTTACTCCCTCCTCCCAAAGGACTTGTATGACTAGTACCTGTCTGTGGCTTCCTGCTCTGCTTTGCACAAAGGGCTTTTGATGTTGTCTCTGGGAAGGAAGACCACTCTAGATGATACCCTTGTATTCTTTGCTCTCTTCTTCCCCTGGGCACTGTCCTCTGGGTAGTGCGACTGACAGAGAGGACAACAATGCGCTCTCATGTGACTGCAAAGGCATCGTGGAGTCAGTGCTTGTGCCATTGGTTCACCACTACACAACACTGGGCAATGCTGCCAGAGCCTTTTACTATCTTCTGGAGACTGCAGCTGCCTACCTGCATGTCTCCAACTACTACATGGTGAGTCGCCCTGCTTGCAGTGTGTCCTGCCTGGCTCTGGGAAGGACAAGTTTGCGTTGCACTAGGACACGACTTTGTGGGTCCTTGGAAGGAAGATGTTGAGCTCTGAGCCTCACTTCTTCCTTTGGTTTGCCTCTTGTGTGGGAAGAGGCATTGGGTGCTGTGCCCTTAGCATGAGGGGCATTAGCAGGGAGGAGGCCTGAACGATCAGTGGTGCCTGTGCTCTGAGGCACACAGTCAAAAACATGACTGTTTGTGCAGGTATCACCAGGGGAAGAAACAGACCCTCTGAAGACAGATGCCAGAGGCAATGGGGGAGGACAAGGGTAGCCATGGGCTCTGCACTAATCTCACCTGCTCTCCGTGTGCTTTCACAAAGGCCCTCAGGAAGCTGAGCGAAGCAGATATCCTGAGGAACTCTCTAAAGAGTAAAGCGAATGTGATATCCCGCTTTGAAGATGCCACCTTCTTCAGCCTCAAAGGGGAGGTAAAGGCGCGGTCTGGAGGGATCTCCTGAGTGATGGAGCTGGATGCCTTCCCCAGATGCAGTGGACAGGAGAGCTCTGGCTTCTCTGGCCACTGGCAGATCCCTGCAGTCTCTTGGGCATCTAGTCCACATTGCGATGTTTCCCTTTTCCTGTGCAGGTCTGCTATGGTGTGGGACGCACAGAGCTGGCAAAGAAAATGATCAGAAAGGCTTTGAGCCTGCTTGGAAGGCCATTTCCCCGGAACCGCGCTGAAGACTTTGTCAGGTCGCAGGTTGAAAAATTGCAGTGTGCCGCTTATGTTGCCAGAAGAGCATCTTCCCTTCCACAGAAGGCCCAGTAAGAAACACGACCAAGAACCCGGGGGAGAAAGAGTTATTTCCTACCTGGTCACAGGCATATGGGCACAGACCTGACGAGGCTTGAGGCCACACAGAGCAATGTGAGGGTAGAACAGGGAACGATAAAGTTCCTCTCTCCCTCCCTCCCTCTGAGGCCCTTGGAACAAAGCATACCTTAGGGTATCAAAGCAGCTTGCAGCCAGGGATGTGTCTGCTGGCACGAGTTGTGGCAGTGGATTGGTGCTGGCTGGGAAGAGAGAGCTGTACTGAAAAGGGGTGGGGGGGCTGGAGGCAGGACCAGGGCATGGAGAAGGAGCAGTAAGAGGAGCTTGGCCCCCCTGGTGCTGTCAGGCCAACATCCTCTCTAGCGGCCAGCTTCCCACTGTGGTACTTGTTGTTTGCCCCTTTCCCTTCTGGCAGCTCCCCCTCCATCAGCTCTATTTCCTCCAAGGAAGTGTAACGGTCTTGTCTGGCACCCGTTTTGCCCCCTGGCCCTGTCTGACCCAGCTCATAGGCTCTAGCCTGTAGAGCTAAAGCCTCTGGGCCTAGCAGTTTCTCTTGCTTGGCAGGAAGAAGAAGCTCGCCTGGCTGCTGCGGCAGAGCCGCTGTCTTTCCTTACTGGAGCACCTCTTCAGGCTGGAGGGCACTTCTGCTGGATGGAGGCTGTCCTGCCTGGCAGCGCGCATGAGGGCCAGCACAGACAGGGCAGTGGACTTGTATCTGTCAGCAGCCTGCACGAGCTATGATGCTGGCTTGGAAATGATCATATAGTTCATTACCACCATCTATCTTACATTTGGAGAAAGACGGTACTCTCCAAATATTTGTAGTACCGTAAGAAGCAATACATACAAATTATTAAATATTCATGTGTCCCTTCGCATTCAGATTAAATCCTTTTATTGTTACAGGATCTGTAAATATCTCCCAGGACACAGAAGGGAAAGGACAGGAGAAGCAGGCAGTTACTTGGGAGTATTTGCTGGGCTTGGTTGGTTTTTGTTGCGTCCCTAATGAAGAGTCCATCCCCAGCATCCCTATAGCCCCCGTTCAGATACTGGAAGGCTGCTATGAGGTCTCCACGCAGCCTTCTCTTCTCCAGGCTGAACAGCCCCAACTTTCTCAGCCTGTCTTCATACGGGAGGTGCTCCAGTCCCCTGATCATCCTCGTGGCCCTCCTCTGGACTTGTTCCAACAGTTCCATGTCCTTTTTATGTTGAGGACAATGGAACTGCACACAATACTCCAAGTGAGGTCTCATGAGAGCAGAGTAGAGGGGCAGGATCCCCTCCTTTGACCTGCTGGTCATGTTCCTTTTGAGCATTTGGTCAATGAGAAACTGAACCTGAGCCGGCTTCAGTGTGCGCTCACAGCCCAGAAAGCAAACCATATCCTGGGCTGCATCAAAAGGAGCAGGACAGAGAAGGGAAAGGACAGGAGAAGTAGGCATTTATTTGGGAGTATTTGCTGGGCTTGGTTGGTTTTTGTTGGGTTTTTGTTGTTTTTTTTTCATTTTACTTATTGTTTAAATTGATTTTAAAATTATCTACCTCTTTTCGCAAGGATTTTCCAGCCAAGTGCAGTCATTTTAAAAGAGCTTTTAAAATCCTGTTGCATTATAGAAGTCTATTATATAAAAGCATGTATTAGTTTTCACGTAATACTATGAATACTATCTTCAGCCCAGTGGTCTCATCTAAACAAATCCAGTGGCTCCCTGGATTAAATCCTTTGCAAGCATTCAATATCATCCAAGTCTTAACAAGTTAGAAGAGCCATGAGGTGGAAGTTCACACCTGGAGGCAGGGAAATGAGCAACTTCCAGTACTTTTTACCAGCAGTGGTAGTCACCTGATGGTAAAAAGGGTCCTCAGACTGACAGGTACAGCTTCACTGACATGTCCATCTGGTGTATACACTGTACATTTCCCATCCTCAGTCCAAGTGAAGTGTCTCACCTCACCCACGTGTTACTGGTACAGCCCAGATGCCCTACGGCCTTCCTTGGAACTTCTTGAACGTGTGCATTTGTTGATCTCCTTCGCTCCAGAGTCAGTGGAGCACTGCTAGTGCTGCCGCTGTGCGGCCTCTTGCAGGGCTGGGAGAGTCCTGGGGGCCGGGGCCTTCTCTTTGGGGTCAGCAGGACCCTGCGGAGGGCGGCTGCAGCGGGATCTGCCGGTTCCAGGGCACAGGGTGCACTGACCCCCCCTTGTGACGTCGCGTGTGGCGAGGCCAGCCTGGCTCGTGCCTGGGGTCCTGCTGCGCACGCTGCGAGGTCTGCAGGGTCGAGCGAGGCTTCTCCTGTTGCTCTGGGTGCTCTGGGGCTGCTGTCAGCAGCACTCGCTGCCCATCCCAGAGCCATCACCAGTGTTTGCCTGGCCCTGCCCGGCTCAGGTAGACGCAGCGCATGACATGTGGAGAAACATTAAAAAAGCAGCAGAAAATCAAGGTGATGTAAACCTGCCCCAAAATCTGAATGCTACATATCCCGTCCGTCACGAGGCGAAGCGACGGGAAGGAAAATGGCGCTCCCGCGAGAACCGGGCGGAGGCAGCGGCGGCGGCTTTCCTCCGGCGAGGGGCTGCGCCTGGTGGCGGCGGGACAAGAAGCTGCAGAGCACGGGCGTGCCGCCTCCACCTCCGCGTTGCGGGAAGGAACAAGGATGTCAGAACTGGAAAGAGGATGTTGATAAGAAAGATCAGGTACACCTTTTGCCCGATGTCGTAAACGTAACCGCAAGGCAGACACAGAGGTGCTTGGCTAATTGCTTGGAAGCGTATAAATGTCGTGTAATCCTTGTAATAAGCAATCCAGCTTGTACTCTACCTCTGGGTCCGTGCCTTCCATCCTCACAGTCAGGAGCACAGGCAAGCTGTTTGGTGCATTTAGACTGCTGCGAGGGGCCAGCTCCACCGCCTTGAGCACTGAACCTCGCCTGGAGCCCCAGCCACTTGCGGCTTTCCGCCCCGCTGCGGATGGGCTGGGGTGCGAGGGCCATGAGACTCCAACCGAGCACTTGGCTGGCCCCAGCAGCACCTGTACAAGTTACCGGCTGAGCCAGGCCTTGGGCGATGTGGCCTTTTCCCTGGCCATGAGCTGAGGTCCTTTCTTCTGGAGAAGCTGTGGCTCCCCTATCGCTGGCAGTGCTCAAGGCCAGGCTCGTCAGGGCTTGGAGCAACCTGCTCTAGTGGAAGGTGACCCTGCCCGTGGCAGGGGGTTGGGACTGGATGAGCTTTAAGGTCGCTTGTAACCCAAACCAGTCTGGGATACTATGATTCTGTGACATGAAGAGCAAAAGCTGCGTGCTCACTGTGCTCAGGGCTGTGGTTTCAGCTCCTGGAGGAGCTTACCAGAGCCACCTTCCTTTGCCAGGTACAGTGGGAGCACGTGTCAGTGGCTGAGGGTGGGAGTCCCAGTGTGATATCCAGCCCAGCCACATCCAGTCCTCTGCAGCTGGGCAGGGATCCTGGTAAGAGAGCCACGCTCATACCAGCCTTGGGCTCTGGGGCGTCGAGAGAGCTGCCTCTCCAAAGGACGGGTAGTCTCGTTGCCGGAAGGGTGCTGGTCCATGCCGCTGGCAGCTTTATGGCCACTTACAGGTGGTTTCATTTCCAGCCGCAGCAAAACTTGAGGGTAACTTCAGGACAACAAGCCTCCTGAGCGAGATGTAAAATGGAAAAGTTGAATCTGAGATGGTATTTCCGCCCCCTGGAGTGGTCTGAGGGGATGCCCCGGGGCTGAGGTGCAGAAAGAAGGTGGAAACAACGGAAAGGCTGTCCCGGACGAGAGAGGGGTTGAGGTGATGGGGGCTCCTGAGGGAAACACTGCTCCCAGATTTCCAGGAGCCTGCAGGTCTACATTAGCTCCAAATGAGAGGGGTTTCCCGTAACGAAAATGCTGCTCCCAGCCCTGTAGGTGGCTGCAGAGGTTCAGAGCTGCGGTGTGGGGAGGGTGCCTCTCCCTGAGGAGAGTGTGTGGGGCTGTGGAAGTGGGTGGAAAGGGCTGTGTGTGAAATAAAGGTTTTGGGAACCTGTGGAACAGTGGAAGGGGAAGGTTTGAGTGGGAGACGGTGGCGTGGGGTGGTTTTGGGGGTAACTGGGGAAGGGGCTTGAAACCTGGGTTTGAGGGAAAGACAAAGCGGATGGAAGAGCTGACCTGAACAAACAGCTTCAGGGAAGCTTCAAGCACAGCATGACTGGCCTTGCCTCTTCCCTGTGCATTTTGCAGGCTGCAGTTACCTTGATTATTGATAGAGTTCCATTTTTCCCACATGAAGGGTGAATATTGCTTCCCCAGACAGCTGTTACCTCGCAGTAGCCGGTAAAACACCAAGAAAGTATGTTCAGAGGAAGGAATGGGTGGGTCTTGTGGCTCAGCAGGATCCCCTTTAGCACCCAAGCTATTTTCATACCTTTGGGGTTCCCCCCCCCCCCCCCCCCCCTCCCCCCCGCCTTGCTCTCTCCCCCTTCAACTTCCCCAGTTTGTTTCTTTATGATTTTTAAGGAAATTACTTAGGTTCGGTTTAGGGCATTCCTCCATCCCGGTTTGAGTGTTAGCCCGTTCCATCATCCTTCACTGTAATAACCGTATTTCGTGGTTTAAGCTGAGCCTGTAACCCAGAACCACACAGCCGCTCGCTCTTTCCTCTCCCTTCTTCCTCCCCCTGCTTCCCCTGAGCTCACCTGGTTTTGTCAAAGTTCATTCCTTGTTGGGATGATGGTCGGAGGGAAGTCAGGGTCAGTTGATGGTGACGTGAGGAGAGTTCTGCTGCTGCTGCTGGCTTTTCCCATGACTTTATTCTCCACTGATGATCATGACAGCACATTTCTTCTTTTCAAAGCCCAGAGTGGTGGGGATGGGCATCCAGCTGATGGGCTATAAAAGTGTTATATACCAGGCAACAGCATATAATTGAGTTCATTGGCTGTTTTCCCCCCAGACTGAATCTCCTTGAGGTACACACGGGAATTCCCCATCTTCCCCCATCACCCACCAAGTATATCCGGGTCCCTGAGCAAAAGCAGTCCCACGAGTGGGTCTGCCTTTACCTGAAGCAGGAATAACCCAGACCGTCTTCTCCAGCAAATTCTTCATGTGCACCACAGGAACTTTATCCCCTTCTACAGTATGTGAAAGTTCTGACTGGGCTGGGCCAGCCCTGTTGGCAGATCCTCTGGTGTTGACCAACCAGGTGGCCTTTGGTAAGTGTGTATCCCAATGCTTGAAAGTCCCACCACCCATTCCTCTCAGTGTAGTTTTTAACATCGTACCGTTCGATTTCCCAGAGGCTGGTGCATGGTAGGGGATGTGATATACCCACTCAATGCCATGCTCTTTGGCCCAAGCGTCTATAAGGTTATTCCAGAAATGAGTCCCATTGTCTGACTCAGTTCTCTGTGGGGTGCTGTGTCACCACAAAATCTGTTTCTCAAGGCCCAGGATAGTGTTCCGGGCAGTGGCGTGGGGCACGGCGTGTGTCTCCAGCCATCCGGTGGTTGCTTCCACCACGGTAAGCACATGGTGCTTGCCTTGGCGGGTTGGTGGGAGTGTGATACAATCAATCTGCCAGGCCTCCCCATATTTGTACTTCAGCCATCGCCCTCCATACCAAAGAGGCTTTAACCGCTTGGCTTGCTTAACTGCAGCACGTTTCACACTCATGAGTAACCTTGGCAATAGTGTCCATTGTTAAGTTCACCCCTTGATCACGAGCCCATCTGTATGTTACATCTCTGCCTTGATGGCATGAGGTGTCTTAGCAACAGCTAAAA